GTCATGCGACTGAATCACACTCGCCTATTTGGAAAGAAAGTTTCACACAGACATCCTCCCGTCTCTCAATTTTCTTCAGTGATTTCAATCTTTTCCTTGAATCTAGGAAAGTATTGTACACAGATAAACTTTCGTCTTCATTTATGCATAAAAGAAGATAAGTCAGTCAGTATTTTCATGCAGTGCATATGTTCTTATATGTCATAGAAAAATCATGACAACTGTCATTTGATGCTGCTTGAGGAACTAATAAAAGTGAAAGGAAAATGAGTTCTTGTTATATAATTAAATGAAAAGTAAAAAACATCGACTTTCTCGACGATAAATCATATAGAATGAATGTTACTGTCTGAGTATTTCTCTTTTGATTAGTAAGTACTTATCTAATAAACGTAACAGTTAGTCAAGTACTCTGCTATGATGAAGTTGACGTTTTTCATCGACCAAACTAATAATTTAATAATATAAAGAGAGATTTCTGAGAATCTCATCTACAGTGATATGTTATAATTTATACTTTCATGCCATATTTTTAATGATATAACAGCGCTCGAAGCGTTACTTCAATGCATTTATCGATGATTGACATATTTGCATCAATGAAAAATTTCGAGCGCATGGAATAAAAAATTCTATTTGTAGCAACACATAAGAATTTCTATTTAAGATGGAACGTATTACTCCACATGAAAGTGACGATTTCCATCAGTTGAAGAAAAAAAACAATGCAAAGTGCTCGTGGGATGTTCTATTTCTGGAATAATTTTCCTCTATCTTTGAAAATATGGGTACAATGAAAATTTTTTTCAATTGACTCTATTATTATATCATAGACAATATTATTATTATCATTTGAAAGCCATAGTTCTCTGCATGACAAAAGAACAGTCTTTTTATGACTACCGTCTGATTGTTCAAAACTGTTTTAAAAACTTTCTTTTCATTTTCTTCAACAAAGTATTCTAATCGCATGTGTATATATATTCTATTTATACCATGGAAATATTCATGAACATATCACATCTATAAGTGATTCTCAACTTATTTTCCCTTCAAATCATATGCCAAACTAATCTACTTATGTTCTTTGTCTTGCACGTCAACGTAACTCTATCTTTTTTGGGCAAAAAGTGACAAGCTTTTGAACCGAACTTATTTGTCTGATCTCTTAGACTAACAGGAACACACAACTAGTTCAAAAAAAGAAATTCCTTTTCTCCTCTTTACGTCATCGTCATCATTCATTTCTCTAGCAGGTACTTCTTCCCTTCTCTTCTCTCTCGATCTTCACCATTCAAATCGCTCTTCTTCTTCTTCAAATAACCATCCATGCTCTATCACAATCACGATCATTCACTACATCAACAACAACATCCTACTGATTATCCATATTCCTACCAATACACACCAAAAACAAGTGTTCAACAACGACCATTACATTGGTGTATCATTCTCATTTCCCTTCTCTTCGTTTTTCTTCTTGTCATCGAATCTGTTGCATTTGTTGTGCTCGGTACATGGCATCTCACTAGTCGACATGTCGAAACAGTTAATCTGCCATTCTTCGATGAAGTCTATCATCGTGAACTTGTTTTCGGTATTGTTCTTGTTCTCATCGGATCTGCAGGTATTTTCATGAGTATTCTGGGTCTTGTGGCTTTCTTCACTCTTCGATTGTTGTTACTACGAGCAGTAAGTGGAGAGAATGTTTCGGGTGATTGACTGATGGATTTGTTTATAGTTTGCAGTGTGTCTTTTGGTGGTGATGACGGGTGGAATAGTGAGTGGTGTGGTTGGAATGGTGTTCTCATGTATGAAAAGTGACTGTGATTTGTTGAGTAATGTGAGATATGTTGTGATTATTGTAGCACACGTGAATGGATATATTGAAGAGATGAGAAACTCGACAGTGGTTGATGGAAGCGTAAGTAACGAAGTGGTGGAAGAGAAAAATGATGATTTGTTGTTGTTGTTGTACATTTTAGTATATGGAAGCGAAGTTTATGTTGGGAATGAATGGTGGTTTGTCATTATTTATGAGTTTAACATGGGTAAGTCAAAGGAAAAGAGGAAAACGTGGTAGATAATTCTTTATGAATTTGTAGATTATGGGTATAGTGGTTGTTCGATGCTTGACTGGAGATGAGAACGTTAATGCCAATGATCGTCTATACAGTCGATCACGATAGCGCGACGATAAGAAATAAAATATGGTTATTAGATACCAGAAAGAAAAAAAAGCCTCGAAGATTTATAAGCTGTTATCAGATTATTCCATTGAAATATTCATGGGTCGTATCAATATCCGGATTAAAAACTCATAAATCGATTTATTTTTTCTATCACAAAATGTATATAATCCAAATGTGTGCTACTTTATCAGGCTAGAACAATTGCGAGAAATTCAAACTCTGTTTTAAATCTTAAAAAAATACAAAATGAATTTAAGTGAAACTATTTAACGGATACACATATTCGCCTTCAAAGTTCAATAAAAATAAGAATTCAATAGTCTTTTCAAGAATACGTGCTAGAATGTCCTTTTGAAAATGTCCCCGGACGAAATGTCCTCTTTCTTTTCGTCCACCCATATAAATATATATGGGAGGACGAAAAAATAAAGGACATTCTAGGCTGTTACCCTTTTCTTTTCGAAACATTTTATTACTTTTATATATGATACCAATCAGTTCTTGTTTAAACTTCATTCAACAAAAAAATCGCGATGAGCACAGTTCGGCGCGAGGAAAGAGACTTTGTAATGTTGACAAAATTACTTTTCTATCCAACGTCAAACATATCATTTCATTATTAAAAAATTCTCTTATGTAATCGTTCCCATGTTGATTATTTCCTAACGATTATGTTGCACAATAAAATATGAGGATATTTGTGTAGAAGACTTCAAAATCATGGTTTTAAACACATATCTTTGCTGAATAATATACAGAACGAAAACATTTTCCACGGTTTGATTCTTTTCATTAGTTTCCTTGTCCCCTTCAACATAGTATGTGTAGCGTGACTTATTAATACAAAAAAAACTATGTATAAACATGTCATCAACGTTGTTTGAGGTTTATTTTTTATATACATACGCATATAACAATACAAATTCAACTAGAAATATGACATCACAAAAAGAAAAGAAAATTTTAGGCATTTAATCTATTTCATCCGACAGATCTGCACGTACAAAATACAATTCTTTAGTATCATAATCTTGCTTCGATTTCTTCATTGACTCTATTCGTCAATTCAGGAAGATCATCTCTTTGTTTCAAAAACTCGATCCATTGTTCAAGTGAACATGTATGAAAGAGATCCGTTGCAAAACGATGATCATCACAAGGATTGACAATAACCAATTTTTCAATATTCATTGTACATCGCACATTGACTAATTTTGTTTTCGCATCACGTATAAGATTTCTTTCATCTTTCAATTCGCGTCTCGTACAAAAATTACCAAAACCCCATGAGAAGTTATTCGATGGAAACGCTCGTCGTTGTGTACATTTATTATTAAACATAATAAGTGAAGGTTTGGTAGTTGTTATCATCGAGATTGTATACGAAGTTATCGCACACGGAGCACCATCAGTCAATGTTAAATAAATACCCAAATTGGTCGGATGAGATCGATCGATTTGCAAACGCCATGTACTGTCACTCTTTGCGGAATAAAACAAGGGTCCGTAAAGCCAATCGTCCTTTAATAATTTCAATTGTTTATAATCAAAAAGACAATTGAATTCTAGATATTCATTGATTGTCACCATTAATACTGGTAAATCTGAAGGAAAAACTAATTTGTTTTACAGTCGATTAATACGTTCGTACATATCGATCGAAGACTTCTCATTCTTTTTCACCCAAAAAGTTTCTAAAGAGGAAAAAACGCTGTACCTCTCGGTATGTCTCACATAAGCAAAATATTTTTTTCTATTAGAACGGATAAATTATCATAACCTTGGATTTCTATTGGGAATCGATCATAACGACCATCGAAGCTCGATGATTTTTTTCCCTTTAAACACATAGATATTCACTATATGTAAATTTACCTGTTTACGTCAATCACTTGTGAAAGTCTTGTCTGGAATCTGTTCCAAAACGACCAACCAAATGAGAAACTTGAATCAATATAGACGAGAAGCTTATTGGTAGCTATCACCGTCAATGAAGGAGAACCGAATAGAATGAGGAACGCGCGCATACATACACACACACACAGCCTGACGATGTTTGATTTGTACTATTTGGTGTTATTATGACGAGCAGAAAAGGAGAAACAGAACAGAAAGCTAATGAAATGCATAGACATGTATGAGTCACGATTCGGACTAGAAATGACTTTAGTCATTAGACATAACTCTTATTCATTAATATGAGAAATTGTTTGACTGTACACATACTCGAATGTTATGACAAAATAACAATATTCATGATAGAAGAGAATACGGCAGATCAAACTTCATCCATTCGGATCGATTTTCTTTTATTAATGATGCTACTCGTGAGCAAACCAGGTAAAAGTATAGTATTTATAGGTCCAGAACAGCCAACTGAATGAAATATCAGGTCTTTGAAGATATTCGATCTTTCTTGCGTGTTATTTACCATCGTTCAAGGAAACTGATATTTTTTTAAAATATAAATCTTCTATTTTTTTTCAGCACAAGAGAAAAAAATACCAGCTAACTAACTTCCCAGAGAAAAAATAGTGATTGAATGATCATTATAGAAGAAAATACACATATATCGTAGACAACGAAAATGTTTCAGTGCAAATACAGTAAAGAATAGTCCAAATATGAGAGTATCAACATTGTAGTTCATTTCAAGAATACAAAAAAAAAACAACAAAACAGAGAAATTACGATAAGAGAAGAAAAACACGAGTAAACCATACATAGGTTTGTATCTATACGTAAATAGAGCCAATCGTTTGATGTTTGACTAGTAAATTAAATGATAATAAAAGTAAAGTTTCGAAGTTAATTTTGAAGTAATAAATTTGTCGTATTATTAATGGCATATAATGCCTCAGAAATAGAATTTTCAGACTAAAAGTAAAGGTAAATGTTGAAGGAATTTTGTAAAAGATTAAATGAAGTCTCTTACAGCACATTTATTTTGTTCATTCACATTTGTGATTGTCGACTGTTCAAAACTATTGAGTTCACCTGCTGTTGATGATTCAAGCAAATCCGGAAAGCTTCCAAATGATAAATCAGACATCTAAAAATAACTTTACAAGAAAATGCGTCTTTCCAAATTCAAATACGAACATTATCTGGCCAATCAAGTCGTAATCGCGATGTATTGCTTTGTAATGCTGCGTTGACAATAGTAGCTAAAGAAACCGAATAGAAAAATCGATCAACTCAATATCACGAAACTTACTGCTGAGAGAAACAGTACTCATATTGGTGTTATCGTTGAGAAGATCATCTAGAACGGAAATTCGTTATTGAAATCGATAACAAACGAATAGCTTTGTACTTGGATTTTCACAATCACTCGTAAATAGACTATTTGATGTAGTTGGGAGATCATGGTTATTGGTTGTGTTGAACAGGAGACGCTGATTTGCTGCAGCAGTTTGCTGTGCATTGATATTTGCATCTGAAGATAAAAAGTAATAGATTTCTGTCAGATGAGGTCAAAATTTACATACCAAGTAACAATTGAATGTTTGAAGGACGAGTTGATTGATCACCGTAACGCAGTGGACGTCGAACCTATGAGAACGAAATAGAATATCATTTATATTGATTTTATGTCATACTCGTTTGTGTCGATGCGATAAGAGATCGTAATTATGAGCTGATGCGGCTTGTTCAGCGGCTAATGATTGTATTAAGGGATCATCGATAACACCATTGTTACTGCTGAAAATAATTCCCGGTTGTTTCGGTGGAAGAGCAGTTGGTGTCGGAGCTGTTTCCGTTCCGTTCACCATTGGTAACAGTAAACTCAACAAAGGTGGAAGCTCTGTTATTGAATTCGTCGTTGTTGACGTTTGAAGCAATGAAGAAGACGACGGTTGATCACGAACGATTCCTCCCGTATCCGTTGGCCACGAAAGAGTATCAAATATACCAGATTGTTCGCTGACGTGTGGTGGTAGATTAAGGGTTCTATCAAGAATATAAGCACATGTATGCAAAAGATGTTTTCAAAGAATCGATTTAAACTCACTTCACATGTAGATCACCATCTAGTACTTTGTTTGTACTATTTGTTTTATTACCTGAATGGAAAAAGTTGAAAGTATTCGAATAAATGGCAAAATAGAGAATGGTACCTGAGAATGAAGTTTGTACAGTTAAGATTTCGTCATTGCTTGGGATCATCATATCTTGGGTTGGAATTGATTGTGGCATTTGTAACAAAGCACAGATCTCAGCATTTGGCGAGTTGGTTGCTTTTGCTGCTGGACGTCTTTGTTCCTTGGTGTTGATTGGATGTTGGTGTGAACAACATGAACAGAAACATTTCGAACGAAAGGTTTGTTGCTTTTTCGTATTCGATTTCTTAGTAATTTTCATTTCTAATTGTGTTTGTCGATCAGCGATTGATGCCAAGCATTGATTTGCCATTTGAATCACATAATGAAGAAAAGCGGTCGACGATGAAGTGTCATTGATATTGCTTGTGCGGGTAAGATTATTGAAATCATAAGTAAGTCGAAGTTCTTTCGGACGTTGTAGCAGTTTTTGTAATTCACCAATCGTTAATGTTGAATAAATGTTATTAACTCGAGTCATGCCTTGGGATATGTCCGTTAGAGTAACTGGTGACGAAGTTGTTGGTGCCGTTGGAGTAATTGATGCTGCGGCTGTATTCGTATCGGGATCGATTTCATCCTCCGACGGAAACTAGAAGAAAATACCACGAAAACATTTACAAATGTGTGAATGAGAAACACTTCGCAATTGATTACTTCATCAGTGAAATCAAGAGTGTCTAATCGTTGTTTGAATAAGCCAGCACTACTATCGGCTTCATCTTCTGTTCCATCGATAAGTGTGAAAGTAGATCCATCATAGGCATTTGATGGATTATTATGATGTGCGGCTCGTTTAGCAGCAAGTAAAATAGCTGTTCGTGCTAAGTTTGATTTATTGTTTGCTAGTAATGACGATGATGTCGATAACGACGACGATGTAGGGGGTGGTTGAGGAATTGGTGTTGCTGGAGCCGATGATGGAGAAATCGATGAAGTAGGAACAATCGTAGATTCATTTGGTATTTCACTTTCCGATAAATTATTTCGTTTACGAGCTGTTGTCTGCAAAGTTAACGAATGCTCCATTAACGGTTCGGCTGAATGTTCAGAATCTGATCGTGAACGAGATTGTTTATCCGAATTCGGTATGGATGGCTTACGTGCTGATGAAAGATCAAGTAGAGACGTCGAATCATTTGTTACAACTGGAGAATCAGTTGATAATAGATGCGATCCATGAGGATATAAGATAAGTTGCTCGAGAGATAAATCTTCTTTGACTAACTAAACAAAACACACAAAAATATAAATCTCATATAATTTAATATCCCTCCATTTGGGTGTTTTGCTCATGGAAATCAATCATATAACTCGATAGATACTTGATTCATCTCTATCAAGTGTTATCTACTATCGCTCAAGGCCGACTAAATCGATCGATTCGACTTACAGATTGAGCATGAGTGTTCAATTGCCAATATTGAGTTAATTTATCAATTAACTCATTGATTGTCGTCGTTCGTGACAATAGAACTTCGACATGAGGATATCGACATGATAATGCGACACGCATGTAAGCTGAGGGTGATGCTGGACTCAGTACAACTTTCACATGTTTCGATAATGTTCGATCGGATTGTTTTGCTGAACCTGAAAATTGGGATTGAAACTTCGATTGTATTTCGAGGAAAACAAATTCATACCGAGTGTATTTCCTGTCTTAGGCGGTTTTAAAGCTTTTCCAATAATCGATACATGTTCTCGTTGTCCTTTAACACGTAAAAATGCATTGCCATTACGAATCAATTGATGTAACACGGATATTGCTGGTTTTTTATCAAAACCTAAATCATCAAAAAAGTTTTCGTCGACATATTTCACTTCATATCATAGATGTGCAATTCTTACATTTGACTTTTGGTTTTAAACACAGATAAGCAAGAACAGAACGTAATTCCAGCGAATCGACGTTACTTTTCTCTTCTACAAAAGCGAATTACGATGAGATTTTCCGAGACAAAAAAAAGCAAACCTTCGGTAAATGTACAAAGTTTCGAAACCGTTCGAAACGATCGATAATAAAAGCAACGTATCTGACCAAAAGTACGTTTTTGCGCTTCAGGATTCATAAGACGACGTCGCGTATTGAAACATTGGCCAAGTGCTTCGAAATTTTTTCCATACTACAATCGAAGATGAGAAGAAAACTTTCAACAAGAACAAACTTACAATTCGAAGCGCGCTGAAAAACTGTTTTTGTTCTTCCATCGTCCATTTTGTTTTGTCCGGTAATTTAGGTGCGACCTCTTTGATTTTCTTTATCTTCGGTGCAGGTGGTTGAACTTGTAGGGCTAAACAATCGATGAAGATCGTCGAAAAAGCGATTTTCATTCATGAAATTTACTTGGACTTCGTTCGCGTTTCGGCCGTTTAGTAATTTCTTTTGTTCGAGAAGCAATCGAATCTTCAACAACAACAACATTGGCGATTGGTAATGCGATCGACGGTGGTTCGTCCTTAATATCTTCACTAGTTTCATTCATGACATGTAGATACTAAAGAACTTCAATAAAACGGGTATTAGTAACGAAATGACCTTGAGCCATGAAGAAAATGAGTCAAAAAGAGGTATGAACACACTTAGAGAATGAGCGGTCGACATCGACGACGACGAAAAGAGAAAAGGAAGGAAATGGATCATCTGTCAAAATGCTTTACTCCCGTTTGCTTCCTTTTTCGGCCAGTCACAAACAAGCGCAACTATTCTTTTTTTCCTCTGCGGGAGTAAATATGCATCAATGAACGAAATTTAATTGTGAAGACAAATACATTCAATACCAACATAAAAATTCAATTGCGAAACCTTTCTACCTCAATGCTTTATTTCCTCGAATACGATTGTGTCAATGTATGTGTATACACAGAGAGATATTTACAAGCGTTCTTGCCTCTTAATGCAGAAATATTCGTGCTCGCGAAACTCGATGAATATTTGTAATCGAATGAGAACGAAGTTTCGATGTAATTTCGGAATTATTCTCAAACTAGGTACATTCATAGTGCGCAACTCGCGACATTTGTCTTTGTGATCGACTAGCAGATCGCTAAACATCTGCTCTGTAATCTGATATACTCTCGCAAACCTTTAGCTCAGCCAACAGTAAACGTTCTAACGAAGATTCCTAATTGGAATAGAAATTTACTGAGACAAAAAATGATTTTGCCATGATAAGAAAGACTAACCAATATTTAACTTAGATATTTTCGCCGAGCCTGCTCGTATAGATGTGACATCTAGAGCTGACAAGGCACAATCCTAAAACTCTGTTCCATTATCATGGAATGATCAATCGCGCACGATAATATCGGTTCTACAGCCAACATGCGCTGGTTTATCTAAATTTTTAAAAGAGACCAGATTGTGGTTGAATTACTGTAGGAGAATTTTCAACAGTATCTCGTTTCAACGAAATGGAGATTGTATAATTTCTGTCAGATGATATGACATCAGTGAAAAGTAAATAAAATTCGAATTGACGATGTAATGGAGTATATTTCAGGCATGTTATTCAATTCAGATCATTCCATTTGTCATTAAGGACAAAGAAATTTAGTTATGTATCTAAACATTCTTTCAATATCTAGCTTTTTATGTTTATTCGACCTAAACTCAAACGCGGACTGTTTTGTTAAGAAAATATCTTCTTATTCTGTCAATTGGCCTAATTGAGAGACAGAATGTATTCTTCTCCACCATAGACAAATTGTTTCTTTCCTTTCCAACAAAACAAATTCATGAACACATAAAAAAGGCTGTTATCTGGCTCGTTCATTCGTAACACCAAGTATTCTCGAAGTTTTTCACCGGCCACTAAAACACACAGAGCAAAAACGAGGATTTCGTATCGAATATGATGAGAACAGTCTACTTACATGATATCTGGATCAGCTTCGTGGGAAAACGGGTAACGTTTAACATGTCTTGCAGCTAACATGGCAGGTAATTGTTCGATATTAATTGGTCCTTCGACAGGACGAAATTCTGTTTCATCATTTCGATGAGATTCTCCTTTATAAAATCGCTTATATAATGAATCAACAAATGTCCAATTTCGAATGTCAAGACTACGTCGTTGACGTAAATCATATTGCCTTAAAAGATATTTCGATCAATTGAAATGCTCTTCTGATCGTTAAAATCTCACCTCAGTTTTTCTCCAATCGGATTGGAATCAACAAGTGCAAAACACACAAATAAGATAACAAGCTTTCGAATGATCATTTTTCATACACAACAACGGAAAGAAACAAGTATCTATATAAATGAAAAAAACTTCTTGTTTATCTCATGAAACATTCCTTTTTTATATACTGCACTTTCGCCTACTATCATTCTTAGTCGAATGCTACTCTACACATGATATCCCTACATCATTGATCATTATATGTATGTACTTTTCTTCTTATCGCTTCTCTTCTGAGGTTATTTGTTTCAAAGTACAAGTGCATAGTAGAGTACCGACGTATATCACAATCCGGTGCGTTCGAAAATAGATTCGATGATAATAGAGGAAAAAGCAATCAAATTTCTTTAACGTAATCTGCGTATGATAAAAAGTACAAATAGGATTGATGATGGATTTGGTTTTTTTTTCTATGCATGAATGAATTTTGATCTGTTTTACGCTTTATTAAGTTTGAGGATAAATAAATAGACAAAGAAAATTCGAGAGATATTTTGTTGCCAATGGAAAAGATCTTGATGGCTTCACTACGAATAGAAACTTTATTAATTTATCTATACAATCTGTGGTTCCCTTAGATGCGATACAAATTGGCAAGATTGTGAAATTTATGTCTGTTTTCTGGCATTTCGAATGCGTATTTTACCAGATATATCATACATCTGTAGTTTGTTTATCGTTGAAAAACTAATTATTAGTACATTGCTTGATAGTTTGCTTGGAGAAGAGAGAAAAGTCGACATTTTTTTTTATCTCGGCCTCTGAATTGGTCTAGGTCGGAGTTCTTTGAATATTTTAATGTGAAAATAAACGAAGGAAAAAGTATTAGAACAAATTGAACTTAAAAGAGAAAAAATTAGAAAAAAGTTTTGTCCTCCTCATTGACAAAGGACATGAACATGAACTGCTGCGAAAAGAGAGAGAGAGAAAGAAAGACGGACAAGTATAGAAGAACATTTAGAAGAAGACAGTGCACAGATGAACACCTGATAGCGCGCAACTGCGGGACGCATATCTGAGTGCAGGATGTGGATTGAACATGAATATGGCGTTTCGCACTGCGCCAAATCCTATGAGAGAAAAAGAAAACTGGAGTCAAACAATTACAACACAATGAGAAGAAGAAGAAGAAACTGTTCTATTCAATGCAATGCACAAAAAAGAAAAATGAAACGGTACTTTTTTTTTATTAATTCTAACGCCACTTATGTTCAGACGGGTTAACTAGAGTGTGTGCGTGTGTGTGTGTGTAAGATAGGATAATCGTGAAAATAAGAAAACAACGAACAATAATATGACAATACTCGCGCAGATACAAACAGTTTGTTTTTGATAATGACTACAAAGCAGTGAAAAGAGGTGCATTTGAATACACACTTTTGGAATATGTACGATTGATTTCATACACACACACACTCACATGAAGAAACAAACAAAAATTGAAAAGAAAAGAGCACACACAAACTGTTCTTTGTTTTTAAAAATTCGTCTAAGAGTAGAAGAAAGAGTTATTCTTCATGCACATAATGATAAACTAATAGTAGGTTTCTTGTTCGACCCATCCACCTGGATTTCGACGGATGAGCCATTTTCGTACTTCATCATAAATAAAAATCGCGATCGAAAATGGAATTGCTGGCAACCACCATCGAAATCTAAAAATAAATCAAATTCCAAGTTCAATATTTCCACTTCAAAAAATATCTGCACTAGTTCCTCCTGACATTATCTAACATTCATTAATCACTCTTCTCTCATCGTCTATTTCAAGGCTAAATGATTGGTTCTAATCAGCAAATCATCTCTAGATAATAACATCAAAGTAAAAGAGATTGAACTCCCCGCCCGGCTTCCTCATCACCTCCAGAAAGAACGGAAAAGGTAAAGTTCCATTACGTAGACACTTACTTGAGTGGATACATATTCAAGCCTTTGTCGAGATATGGAGTATAACAGAGCGCAGCAGCAAGCACAGTTTCGAAAACTAAACCGAAATTAAGCATCCAATTGCTAGAAAAATACGAATGAAAACATATTATTATCGTATCTAAGAGATGAAGAAAGTCAACGTACGTCATGCCCTGATGAAATAGAGAATTTCGTCGTGTTTTACAAATAATCAAATCAGCCCATTGGACAATAACGATGGAAACAAAGAAAGCAGTATGACATGTATATTCTAATGTTTTACGTTGATTGTATGTCTAGATCGAATCAAAGTTACATATATGTTCACAAAGACATTTCGTTTTTTACCCATTCTTGTCCGTAGGAATCTTCTAAGTCATTGAGTCCTTTTGCTTCCCAGGATTTACGTAAGCCAAGTAATCGACTTGGCCAGAAACCATTGTCAGCCATAATGACTAAATAGGTAAAGAAGCCAGCTGATGCTTGAATCATACCAATTTGACCGTAAGCCATTGAAATTAAACTAAAACAAAGAAAACGAAAGAGATATTCGACATTTTTCGTTTCCGTTTATTTTACCGTTCGTTAACCAATCGATCATGTTTTGGATCACGTGGTCGTCGTTTCATAATATCAGTTTCAGCTTTTTCATAAGCTAATGAAATAGCCGGTACCATGTCTGTACCCAAATCAATACATAAAATAGTAATTGTACCCAATGGTAATGGGATGTCAGTGATCAAATACATTAAAAATGGTGTAATTTCGGGTATATTCGACGTTAAAGTATACGCAATTGACTTTTTCAAATTATCAAAGATCAAACGACCTTCTTCGACACCTGTGACGATCGATGCGAAATTATCGTCGAGTAGAATCATATCAGCTGCTTGTTTACTAACATCGGAACCGGCAATACCCATAGCAACACCGATATCAGCCTTTTTCAATGCTGGAGAATCATTAACACCATCACCTGTCACAGCAACGATAGCTCCCTGACGTTGACAACCTTCGACAATGATTAATTTCTGTTGCGGTGATGTACGAGCAAAGACGATTTCTGGATGTTCACGTAATAGTGTGTCAATTTCGCTCGGTGACATATTCTTCAAGTCATTTCCGTGTACAACGCATGCTTTCGCATCAGCTGGATTAACTTGCTCAACGGGGATGTCTAAGCGTTGAGCAATATCTTCCACTGTTTCTTGTCCTTCAGAAATAATACCAACAGCCTTAGCGATAGCTTTAGCAGTAATCGGATGATCACCAGTAACCATAATAACTTTAATACCAGCTGAACGACATTTAGCAACGCTAAAGAAAAGCAAAATAAATATACATAGATTATATTTCATCAAAGGATATGCTTACGCTTCAGGTACAGCAGCACGAGGTGGATCGATCATAGACATCAAACCAAGAAATCGTAAATTTTCAACAGGAAAATTGACATTATCCGAATCGAATGAATAACCTCGCGGGAATTCATTAGCTGGTAAACGTAAATCGCAAAAACCTAAGACACGTTCACCAAGACCACCTAATTCCAAATAGGCACGATTGAATGCTGCTCTCCAATCTAAACATTCAAATAATCGTCGAAATCAATACTGTAACATGTATTCTCTCATACATTCGTTCAAGTCAATGTCAGATCCATCGTTATAGATAGTTGAACATCGCTCAAGAATACGTTCCGGTGCACCTTTCATAACCAATAGATATCGTTCATCTCCATCTTGTGTTTCATGAATCGATACTTGATATTTATTCGTTGAATTGAATGGAACTTCGCAAACTTTGCGATTTTGTTCACGAAATCTTACAACATTACCAATCTAAATGCAGAACATGAATATTTCTATCCGAATCCTCTCTCTCTTTGTTGTCTTACAGATAGTTCAACACATTTAAGTAAAGCAGATTCCGAAGCATCACCATTGCATTCCCGTTGAAGCACAGGTTTCTTCAAATTTTCTTGATCTTGTTTAAAATCAGCTCGATTACATAACATGGCGCAACGACTCAGTGCGAGCTAAACGTAAACTTTCATGTGAAATGAATTTTTCAATCGGTCTACTTACCCAACCAGGTGCTGATTTGTCATACGTTGCGTCTAAATAGGAATAAAAATGATTTAGGAAAAACATCTCACAAGTGAAGGTTTACTTTGTTGATTTTCGGTTGTATCAGCTTCAACAATTCGATTGTCGAACCACATGTGCGCGACGGTCATACGATTTTGTGTCAATGTGCCCGTCTTATCCGAGCAGATCGTAGATGTTGATCCAAGTGTTTCGACAGCTTCTAAGTTTTTCACCAGACAGTTTTTCTTTGCCATTCGTTTCGCAGTCAATGTAAGACAGACCTAATCAAAAATCCATGTCGCGTCGATTAAGTACATCGTTTCTTCGTAGTAGAAGACTTACGGTAACAGTGGCAAGAAGACCTTCAGGTACATTGGCGACGATGATACCGATTAAAAAGATGACTGCTTCAAGCCATGGATAACCAAGAGCGAAAGCAATGATGAAAAAAGAAACACCAAGAAAAACGGCAACACCAGTAATAATATGAATGAAATGGGCAATTTCACGTGCAATTGGTGTTTCTCCTGTTTCCAAACCTATGCAAATGGAACGCTTTCACTTAGATACGATCGTTGATCAAGATTTTGATTTTCCTTTACTTGATGCTAAATTAGCAATACGACCCATAACTGTTCGATCGCCAGTTCTAACAACCATTCCGAGACATGTTCCTAGATACGCAGTGAATAGATACTTTTTCTGAACATTCGATATAAATAATATTCACCTTCGACAGCGTATGTACTAAAGAAAGCTAAATTTTTCGTTTCAAGAGGATTTTCGTTAGTAAATTCCGGTCCACGAGATTGAGGTTCTGATTCACCGGTTAACGATGAGTTATCGACTTTAAAACCTTGAGCTCTAATCACGCGAATATCGGCTGGTACTCGATCTCCGAATTTCACTTCGACAAGATCACCAACAACCAATTCCTCTGCTTTCAAGTTTCGTTTTTCTCCATTACGGATCGCCAACGCTTGCTAAAAGAAGAAAATCAAATTCTCACATACAATCAACATCTGATTCTGCATGAAACATAATACATACAGGTGGTACCCTAAAATGAATTGAAAATGAAAGATAAAACATCGGTAAAATTCATTGACATACATGTTTTTGAACGATTCCATAATTCTTGAACTTTTCGCTTCTTGAAAATACGAAAAGCAACCTGTGACAAATACGACTACAGTTAAGGCAACACCAAGCCAAAGCTGTGAAAAAGAATTTAAACAAAAAGAATAAAAGAAAATCATCATGAAATACTTCCATACATTATCATTAGGCGCCTCTTCATATGTTGCGACACTGATACCATGTGCAATGAAACATAGGATGGCACCAAGCCATAGAAGCATAGCAAAACCTCCGAACATTTGTCGACAGAATTTTACCCATTCAGGTGTTGTTTTAGGTGGTGACAATGCATTTGGACCATCACGTGCAAGCACTTCTGCAACTTTTTTATCTGTTAAACCCTATTGATACACAAATGAAATAGACTCCTTGGTTTAGATATGCTAAGATTACTTTTTCCGGATCGGTTTCATATCTTCTGTATAGTTCTGCAATGGGTATTTTGTGATCATCCTAACAAAGTAGATAAACAATCGATCGTATGGTGTAAAAATGAGCCAAATGGTAAATTACAATTTCCAATTCACGTTTCAATTCATCAAGGTCATTTTCACCTTTTTTCCCTGCTTTTACTGCCTTTTCGTCAGTCTAAATATATAAAAATAGATAAACTTTACTGATTTGTATCTTTATCTCATTAATACTCTTTACCATCGTTCATTGAGATGAAATTGAATCTTTATTTGTAATGTTAACAACGTTTTTTCTCGACCCACAAGAACGATCGAGATCTAGAAATAACTATTTGTTTTAGACAATAATATTTGACCAAATAGAAACTAGACAAATATCTAAACAAACGTAAAATCAATGAAATCATTTAGATTAACCTGTGTAAAATATTATTAATCAGTCATACATAGAGATATACATATTTGAAAAGGAAAAAAAACAAACAAGGATTTTTTCCTTCTTCGCGTTCTACGATGACTCTGGGTGATGATTGCAGCAATGTTAGCGCGATCAGTCGCACGCATACGAACATACATAAATAATAACACACATAGAGGGAGAAAAAAAGGAGAAAAAAAGCCGAGAAAGAGACAGAGACAGAGAGAGACAGAGAGAGGAAAAGACCGAAGAAGGAATAATATCAAGTTCTTGCTGCCACAACCAGACGAACAAGAGAGAAAACCGACAAATGACGTCATCATATAACGGACTCCGTCTGATAGAGAATTCCCTAGTTAATTGTCATAGAAGGGAAAAAACATAATAGAAAAAATTTGAGAATTCACGAAGACGTTTTACTGTCAATCATCGGATATGAATTTTGAAAGTGCATCGATGTGATAATGGGTGCAAAGCTGATCGTATACTAATATCCATATGTTTCGCTTTCCTCGCGAAGAAAAAACTAGTCCGAACTATCAGGTCAATCGTGTTTCTTCTTCTCATCAGGGAGCGAATATTTTTTTCTAATTTTTTTCTTTTTTCTAGATTGATCATTATCACGAACAGAGGGTTTGGGCAGGCAGAAACATACATACACGCGTACGCACATCATCGAATGATTGGTTTCCTCGGTTTTCTTCTATTACTTACGTTACTACTATTACCATCATAGCTCGAACAGCAGTAGATGATATAATAGAAGAAAAAGAAAAGAAAGAAAAGGAAAGGAAAAGAAAAGAACGACGAAGACGTTCAGCCAGCTGACCCACTGGTATTTTCTTCACTCGTACTCATTATAGAGTTAATCTATCTTCAATTCTTATTAGTGCCTATATGAGTTGTATAGTCAAGCTGAAGAAAAATGCGAGGAAAAACGAAGACCACCAGAGTAGAAAGAAAAACCGTGTGGATCAGCGAGTAACGTAAGAAAGAGAAGCGGAAAATGTTTTTTAGTGACACGTCCGCCATGATTACTGATGCGTGAATGAAATACGGGTGTATATGTATATAGAAAAGAGGAATAAATAGAAAAAAAAGAAAAGGGACAACATATATCAAGGCAATATGTATAAAATATTGCCTGGCCACATTTCACAGCACTTATTTCGTCGTACACCTTTCTAATATCCAATTACATGTTCGATTTTTTTACCAAAAAAAAATAAATTTGCCTGTCAAAGACATAATATGATTGATTATTTCATGATCTGTAACAAGCGTCAGTCACATTTTCGATCGGCGTAAGTATTGGTTATATACAGGTAGTCGATTTCTCACTCTTTTCGAAAGGAATAAAAACGAGCAACCGCAAAACCCTGGCGGAGAAGAAAAAGAAGTGTATATGTTACTCTCTTCGACTTATGTAAACGTGCGAGCATATCTTGTTCGGAAAATCGAGGAAATCAAGTCTCGTTCTCAATCATGCAGCTTATAATGTTGAACAACGAAGAGGAGAAACGAGTGAGTGTGGCTTTTTCTTCGCTGATTGAATGACTTTTGATCCTCTTTTCTTTCGTAGTTAAAACTAAGAAAAAGAGGAAACGATAGAGTAGTAATAGTAATAGAAGAAATCTTTAGCGAACGATCGATCATGAATAGAAGACTAAAAACTAAGTGATATGATTGATTAATCAAACAAAACTGAGCAAAGAAAAACTAACTATTCAACATTCAGTATACGTCAATCGGCAACGTCTGTTACAATGCTTTAGTTGTTCTCTTGTCTGGTTGTATCATGTATAACTAGTCAGCAATATATTAATTATTTTTTAGTTCTTCCAGCTGTTGAATCAATGATGTATATGTATATATATCGGAGAGAAAGACGAACTCAACAGACACTTTTTTTTGTACTTATTTTACTCTCGAAAACGAATCTATAGATAGAACAAATTCGGAAAAAAGGTCACAAGAAAAATTCTAATGATAATTACTTTGACACTGCAAATAATCGTCTAATCTATCTTAACTTATCATCACTATATCTACATATATATTTTATTTTGACATTCTACATCCATTAGAATGACTTTTATCGTCATATTTGGTTCTGTCATTCTCTCATTGCGAATATTATAATGAGAGAATCAATTATTCTTTGAACAAAAAAGGTATTTCCTATGATTAATTGAAATCTACAAATAAGTAGTCACGAATAACAATACATGTATTCTTTCTTGCATCGACATCAATTGATGTGAATAATAGAACAACGAATGTCGTTCCTTAGAGCAATTTATATTTTCCGCAATACGTACACATATTCATCAAGTAAAGAGAAGTCGCTTTGCGAATATTACGTTGTGTCAAAGTACACAACAGAAAAAGAGAGAAAGATGTCAATGTGTTTGCTGTTGTTCGTTCTGTCAATCGCATTCTTTTTGGATAATTAAAAGAACGACTGTGAGTTATCTTCGGTAATGATGACAGCTAGATTCTGACTTCTTTTGTGTTCTTACATCTATGTATCTCTGTCAATGCCTGTTGTTGTCAGAACTAACAAAGAAAGGACAAGAAAAAAAAAACCGGAGAAAAGATGTCGACGAAAAGGTTGAAAACACACGATTATATCACTAATCTTGTTCATTCGACCAGCCAAATCGAAATGAAAGTGAACTGTTCGCAAGCAAACAAGTACAAATCTAAGCAGTCAACCAAGCAAGTTTGTATACAGTGGGCCACGTATCCCACATATGCGCATCGAGCCATACATACGGTAGTTTACATCATTATAATCAAGGCACTATACATATATTCTCTCGTGTTCTGCGTTCTACCACTGGCTTCAGTGCATGTTCGCCGACAACAACGACGACGACGACGACGACCAATCTTTACACGCACACACAATCGTGCCTATATCGTTTGGTACTGGTCCCTGTAGCGAAGCGAAAAAAAGTTACCATTACATACCAAAGTCTTTTTTTTATCAATAATCGAGCATAGGATTGAGACGATGACGGCGAACCGCCATTGTAATGGATAGAAGTAAGAGAGTAAACGAGAAAGAAGAGAATCCATCGTCCAATTTACAATATCAGATACTTTAAGTAAGGAAACAAGTGTTCCCTGCATAAGAAGGCAGAGAGAGAAAGAATAAAAGATAGATAATAGAAAAAAAGGCATGAAAAAATGAAATGATTCGTCAGTCCAATATTTTCAAAACGAAGTACGTGATTGACTAGAAATTCATATATACACAATATGAAAAAAAAACGAGAGAACAAAGAAAAATATAAAACGCATCGATATGTATCCAAGTACTGTTCGTGCACATATACATTTTAGCAATGAAAAATGTATTATAAAGTGGAATTTCGAGCATTTCGATTGGGGTACAAATCTAGAAGAAGAAAAAGCACATTTTTAAGCAAAAAAGGCTTTTTTTCCACATTCAATGGCATACCTTCATACGATGGTGGCTCATCTCCTGGACTGGTTGGCAATGCTGGCCGAGCAGCGGCTGCCGGAACTACTGTAGATGATGGAAGCTCTCGTGAGCGACGTTCTGATGAAAATCTTGCTGGAAGATCTTTCCAATGTCGAATCGTGTCAAACCAGTTTTGAGTTCTCGACAATGGTGATTCGGATTGTGGATGACACGAATCAAGGCAACTTGTTTCCTGATGTATTTGTTCATTTGTATCTGTCATAGATAGTGCTGAATGTTGTTGCCGACGACGATATTCATGGTAAAAGCAAAGTATACCAATACTTATGCTAATTAGAAATACAAGAATAATGACGAAAGCTCGTTTGAAACTCCCAGATGATTTTTTAGTTTGTCTTTGATCTTCAGACTTTTGTTCTAAATCAACAAAATCAGAACATTGATTTTTGTCATATATTTGCTATCAATTACCGGAGAATGGAGAAAGTGTTATATACGGTCGGTCTGTTCTCAACCAACAACCACATTTAAATGTGTATTTCTTGCCATCAGTATCACTTTCAACTATGACTTGATCGAGCAGCCAATCCGCTTGAAATGGGAGATAATTATCACGTCGAATCTAAACAGAATCCTTCCATTAGTATTCATTTTCCCTGCATTATATACATATCAAGTTTAATCTTCTAACTCATTCACACATGAAATGCTCGAAGTGTTCAATTCTAATCTATTCATAGAAATAGATCCAATGAATTTCGTGTATACCCGAGATGAAAACTGAAACTTAGCAATTAGTCATTGATACGAGTGCATTCGATTTTGAATATGATTACACATCATTAGAATGTCTCACATCTCTTAACTCAAATATGATCTTTGGATAAAAAAACGACAACGAGTTTTGTACTAAATGAATTCATCCATACAGATAGAAATATGTTTAAAGAATGTACTGATATGATTTGGAATGTGTATGTACGTATCAAATGTCGATCTGAGAAAGTATTTATTAAATTTTCGTGAGTTTCATTTGTGCCGCATGGTTTTCTTTGAAAACAAAGAGAAAAAAAATCATTGAACCATCTTATGAAAGACAATCATGTCAAGAATTCTTAAGTTTGATTGAAGAATCCATCTCATTCACAGAATAGAATCGAACAAAAACGCTTTTGTTCTTTGTTATGTGTCATAATAATATTCAACTCACAATAAATTCGTTATATGACTCATAATTATTTTCTATTTTGCATATTCAAGTGAGATGCTATTCAAAGTATCAATCCTTATATCTGATCGAGCTGTTTTTCATGAGAAATAAGAACATTGACTTACAAGAATTTTGTCGATAGTTTCGAGATTACCAGTCCAAATACGAAATCGATCTTTAGCTCCCGTTTCGAACAAATTTCGTATTGGAAAAACATTTTTTTCAGGTATCCAATTGTAATGTGTCAATTGCTGTTCTTTCGAATTGGTCTTTTTCGAGTTAATTAAACTAATATAAACATTACTATCAGTTCCAGCAAACCGTTGTCCTCCCGTATAGACGGTAATTGTCCAACCTTGAAAGCATATCAAAGAATTTCGAGAATAAATCATCATCTTTTCTTACTTTCTGCCGAATACGACGGAAGCAAAATAAATACGAGGGTCAGCAAAGATATGAATGTCATTATGAGTGAAAAGACTTAAATCTGATCTTCATCTGAAAAAAAGTAAGTGAAAATATTTATCCATTGAAACCTATTAGAATATATCTATGAAAAATACAGATTTGCTTCATTCTACAGATCCTATTTATGTGTATTTTTGTTAGTCAAAATAGAAAACGAATCTTAGGAGATTAAATCTAGATGACTGATGCGTTTGCTCTCGATCGGTTGACTGTTCACATAAAGAATTCAAGAAAAATTGCAATAAGAAAGAAAAATAGAAAGAGAATCAGTACCGTTCGATATAACAAGAGAAAAAAAAGTAACATTAACATTGAGAGAAGGTAGATTTGACTTAAGAGTCCTTTCTTATGATTTGTACCATTTCGGTTTCTTTAAATCACTTCGACACATTGGGCATTTCGAACTTTTCTAAAACGAAAATCAATGGTTCAACCTGAAAATGTCGAGTTTTCTTCTACCTTAAGCCATTTATCGATGCATCTCGTATGAAATCTGTGTAGACATGGAATCGTTCGTACTTTATCATGAGTTTTATATTCATTCAGACAAATATCACATACAACGCCAACTATAGATGCTTCTTCTGCAGTGCTCATTGGATAACATTCAATTAGATGTTTAGATAAGCCCAAACTAAGTAAATTATCATCATCATCTTGATCTGACAAACGACCTGTCGTTGGTTCGGTATAAAAATCGCCCTCGTCATCCGTTTCCCAACTACAATCAATCAAATTAGCATGAACAATCATAAATGCTTCCATTTACCTATCACTTTGATCAGCGAGAGCGTCGTCGATTTCAAGAACTTCTCCAGATGTTGGTACTTGATCTAAATAATTCGATTGGATGAGTATTCCACGCTCAATTGTAATAAAATACCTTCCGATAATGTCTGATTAGTTGTAATAGGATTATTATTAGCCACGATTTGTTCGTTCGAGGGTGAGGAGTCGGGTTGATTATTTGTCGACATGATATCTACAAAAGAAAACCATTCTAACCTTGACCTTGAAGAAACTCTTGTGTGAATACGCCTATCTTTGCCAATGAGAACGAAATTTCGAAAGAGAAAACTTTGCCGTCGATCACTGAAACGATTTTTTGTACTTAAACATCGACGTACAATGTAAAGAATGAGTAAGATTTCATTGCTTATCTTTCTTTCCATTGAAATTATTGCTAGATGTTAGATGTTCTCAACAGATGTCGATAAGCGTCAATGTGACGTAATGATAAATCATCGACACAGAGAAGTGAGGAAATATGAAGATAAGTTGGATCATTGATGTTTGGCATATCGGTGATTTTTACAATGAATGGAATAAATTTAAACATGACATATCGCTTGTGAATAATGAATTAGTCTCGTTTTTCTTATACGCGTAACTATAATCGAAAACGATGGAATCTCCTTGAAATCTACCGGCAGCATTGTCTACATCATCATTTTTATTGTTGTCAAATAATTTCAATGCTGTGTTGCAAGAAAAACCTGATCGAATGTTTTCGTAACTACGTTGCGTTTAGGTCAGTTCATAGAGATGATGATTGATACTATGAAGAGTGTCAATTGATTCACTTGACTTATACTTGATTATCGATTGTTCGATGCCCATCAGTAGGTCAAATTTCGTCCATATTTACTGTTGTTTTACTCTTCGACATGTTGATATGGATTACTTTTCTGAAACTGTTTGTCAATCGATCACGTAATTGGAATACAAAAGAAGAAAGAATTTTCATGTATATTCGACGAAATAGTGCTGTATAATGTTTTATTGTTCTGCTGAAATGACTTTTGGCTAAATACAGTAAAGAAAAGGAAAAAGAATTTCATGACTGTTTCATTAAGGAGGAAAATAAATATATTCAAGGGGTTTTCATCAGGAAAGAATTGTACACACACACACACTCACATTATTATTGATACATATATAGAAATACGTATATATCAAAAGTTCAGAATTACCAGACAAAAATTAAAGAACTAATATCACGATGGTCGTTGAGAACTTCCTCGACGCAAATTACCAAAATTAGTGTTAGGTCGAGAAGTCGGATTTCGATTAGTATGCGTTGATCGCCGATTATTATGGTTCTGATTGTGATTGTGATGATGATTCGAGTTCGTAGGCCGATGATGACGAGAATTTGGCGCTGATTGTATTTTCACTGGTGGTTCTCGACAGATTGGACATACATTATTTTCCTAAAAATCGACCAGAACAATTCAACACAAAATTCGTTCGAGAGATAAAGATCACCTGTAACCAACGATCAGCACATTCTTTATGATAGACATGCCGACACGGAAAACGCCGTAGTGTCTGATTGGTTTCGAATAGATCGAGACATACTCCGCATTTATTTTCTTCATCAGTATTTGTATTCGATGTAGGATGAAATGACTCGATTGGAATGGAGTTGATTTGCTCCTTTGTTAACTTCTTCTTATGAACAGTCTCATCAAGTCGAAGCAATCGCTAGAATAACAATGATAGATGAAACAATATATTGACAAGAATTAGAATGAATTACTTCGTAATCTTCTGGACCAAAATCTTCTTCTGTGTCTTGTAGGTTGCCTGAACGACGATATCTTCGTCGAGGGTAACTAGCAAAGAACGCTGGAATGTCTTCAGGCACAGGCCCATTTCGTTGAAGAAGATATTGAAACAATGGGTGACGCATGTTTGGATAAGCATCTTCTTCATCACTGTCATCTTCATTGTGAGAATGAGGTTGAAATGGAAATGTTGGGTAAGGTGAATGTACGACAGGTTCATTATCATTTTCACCGGATTGAGAATGTTCATTCGATCGTTGGCGTGGACCAAAGAATGCTCCTGGGTATGGATAATGTTGTGGTCCCATAACCTGTTCTTGTCTGTGCAGATATGATGCCAATTCTTCATCATTTTGAAAATTCGGATGTTCATCAACCATAACGTATGACGATGCGCTCGCTGTTGCTGATTCATCGTCAGGTGCAACTCGAAATGGGAGGAAAGGATGTCGAGCTGTTGCTAAACTATCTCTGGAATATTCTTCCTGTTGAAGTTGAAGAGCAAAAGCTTCATCGGCACTTAAATCCGCCAGTCGGCTTTGATCATAACCAGAAGCTTCTAGAGCTATATTATCACTATGACTCATTTCCTCACGTCCAATTTGTTCTTGATTAGATTCATCATTGTCATTGTGATTATTAACTCGAAGGATTGATTTCATAAGAGGCTAAAACAAACATAAATCTCTTGTTTTTCCCTTTCTTTTTCCCAATGCTTACAACAATTTGTTTGACTTCATCGGATTTAAAGACACGTTGTAATTGATCAAATCCCTGCTTTATCGCTGATGCGGATCGGTATCTATGTTTCTTCCCCTCTTCCATCACAAACTGTCCAATAAAGGTAGACTCAAACAGCAGTTAGTCGAAGAAATGAAAAGAAACAAATTTCAATACTGTAGTTATTTCTCTTTTCTTTCCTTTTATCAACATGTATTCGATTCATTCAAACACAGAACGAGAAAAAACCTACAGGTCAATAGAGAACAGAAAAAGAAAGAAAATAGAAAGGTGCAGATATTTATTTTGCACGAAATTTGTATCGCGGAAGAGGAAAATGCAATTCTATAAAACATACTCGATTAGTAATATGATGTGATGATTGATCATCCATTTCAACCGGACAAACCATGGAGCATTGAGGTGGAGAATTCAACTCCATACGTTCTTCTACCGGCGCTGATGGTTCCATCAAGTCGTGCTTAGCTGTGGTCTGAAAGAATCAAGCAGGTTAATTGAATAATAGTAAAGCTTTTTCGACAGATACCTCATTGCTATCACGAAATGTGTTCGGTCTGAAAAGTGATGAAGATTTTTGCATTCTACGAAATCGAATTGAAGTGTTCGAATGAAAGAACAGCTTATTTGTTGTACATGTGGTCTATAAATAAGAAAAAGAGAAGGAGAAAAACGATGTTGTTATTGCTTTTTTTACAAGTCGAATAGTCTTTTTCATATTTGGTGTTTTTTTTTCTTGATTTAAAAAATAAATGAAAAACGTATGTTTCTATGTTAGAATATATCAAATAAGTAAAAGAGAAACGAATGTTCATCAACAACTGTCGAACGATTAATTAAGACCTTTCGGACGATCATGGTAGAGACTTGACTGTTGCGTTCGTTGAATGTACGTTTTACTTAATGATATTTGTCGTTCTAATTCTCGTAATTGTTTTTCAGCTTGCATTCGTTTTTCGGTTTCATCTTGTAACTTCGCTAGCATATTATTCGCATCAAATTTTTCCGGTGAACCATGAAATATAACCATGCCTACGTAGAGCAAATAACAGCGAAAAAACATCTACATGCATAAAAATGCCTTATATTACCATCTTGTTTGTTGATTGATGCAAATATTTGTTCATTCTCGATCATATCAAGAAGATATCTTTCAGCTTCAGTTGTCGATTGGAGTTGAACTCGATTAGCAAGATCTTTCAACGATACAGTGAGAAATGTTTTCGTTAGTTGTTGAATACTATTGCATATAAATGCGGTGCGCGTTTGTTTGATTAAACCTAAATTTCTGTCACGAGCATATTGGTCACGATGACGATTGACGAATTCATCGAATTGGGCTAATGTTTGATTGTTGAATATGTTGAATAATTCAGTATATTGGGCACCACATACGCTGCCGATGGTTTGTTGAACAGTTCGACTTGTGTAAGTTGGCAATGGGTTCGCTGGAATCGAACCGGATATCAATTTCACTAAAACATATTTTTTATACGCTTCGATGGCGATCGCAGATGTGGCTTGTGATGGAACGGTTATGACGTTCTCGAAGAAGTTGCCTGCACGATCGAACTGTTTAATGCAAGCATAGATCATTCCACCGTAGTAATAAGCAAGAAGAAGATGTTTGACATCGAATTTTCCATTTTCACGATTTATATCAATGATGTCAGTGTCCAGATAAGTTAATGCAGGCTCGAACCATTGACAAAGAAGACATAGTTGATAAAGATCAGAATGGATAGATAACAATTGACCGGGCTCACGACGTAGAAGCTCAATTGCGCGATAAAGAATTGGAACTCCTAAAACAACAATCCACCGTCACATTTCATTCGATTGCACGCACACACTCGTCTCATTTTTATTATCAATAATAACATGTATTTCTCGAGACATCTTTTAGCATACATCGGCTTAAATTCAAATGTGAAGGCTGTCATCTGATCTATAGAATATCTACATGAAGAAAAAACAAGAAGTGTCCTCATCTTAAACAAATACACACGACTCTCTTTCCTTTTTACATTCGATCCTTTGGTAATGACCTACCCAAACGAGCGCGATTTTCTTTCCGAAGTTGTTCTGTTATGACATGACATATCTCACATAAGTATTGAGGCAAATATTGAACTTGTTCAGCCGAACTTGTCTGAATGAAATTATCAACTTGGGATAGAAATGCATCAAAATTAGGTATATTCGGTGCCTTGGCAATCGCATGTAAACAAGCTAACATACACTAGAAGAAAGAGAACAAGCATACGCTGTTTAAAATAGATGTTCAGATTTTTCGAAAGTGTTCGTTTACCATTGAATAATCCGGTAGAGGGAATGTAGCGATGATTGAATCGATGTATTGAATATTTTTACTTAAATGGTCAATACTCGGATTACTTAATGTTTGTGCTAAGTCGCTAAATTTCCCATCGGTTGACAATTGTCGGATATTTACAACGAATTGATCTAATGTTGCCATTTGTTGAACAAAGAATTTTGATCTAAAAGGCAAATCTTGCGAATTCGATATTCAGTTGTCCTGACGTATTTGATTAAAGTAAATTTCAACTAAAATAAGCAATCTCTTGAAAACAAAAACACATAACTTCATACGATTGGTAGAGCGAACTATTCATCGCATGACATTACTAGATGGCGTTCTTTTTCAGTCAATAACAAAATCGTTTCCAATTCGGATTTTTATCTTTTTATTTCCAAATCAAAGAAAACAGATTTACTATACAAGAAAATTATTAATCAGACATACAAGGTTCTTGGCAGGTATTTTCCAATAGGGAATAGACATGCTCGAGTAAGTTTTCTTGTTCTTCCGGTTGAAGAAATGTAGAAAAGTTCAGATCTGTTATTAGTGGAATCAATGGTGCTTGTTTGGCATTGTAAACCGCTCGGTTGAGTTGAGCTTTTCGCGCTTCGAGTTCTTTGTGTTGCGTTTGTAGTCGATCTTTTTCCGCTTCAAGTTCTTTTAGTTTTTCAACAAGATTCATTTCAATAGCATCACGCGTTTTTTTCAATTCTCGAGAGGCGATGCGGTTTTTGACACGGCGAGCTTCACGCTTAGTTGCTTCTTCACCGTCCAGTGGTTCATCTTTCGATCGCCGGCCAGTTGACAAAGTTTGCGCCACACACCGTCGGTGGAAAACACGAATTGGACCATAGTCAACAACTATCGAACCCGAGTTGGAATTCTTGCTCTTTGTGCTCTGAATCTTCGCAGTCTGCACAGATGTCTAATCGAAAAACAAGATATTATTTAAACATAGAGATTCAAATCTGATTACATACCTCATCTGGCATCGCATACTCTGATGATAAGGTGGATGATGATGATGACGATGTTTCAGTATCAATATCGTAATCGTCGAATAAAGATTGAGAATTGTACGACATGTCTTTCGTGATTGTAATTACAAAGAAACGTTTGTGATAATGCTTATTTACATTTTCACACTGTATTTATAGTTAGGTTTGACCTGATAGCTATGTCATTTATCCTTTTTTCGAAATCAATGTGAATACTTTAACGTCCCATTCTCAGGCAGACAATATGACACATTAATAAATACGAAAAATCCTTGAAAACATACGATTCAAAACAGTAATCCAATTATGTTTGATGTGTTAGGGCAATATGCGTTATTGTTATCGATATATTGACACATTTGAAGATATATCAAATGTCATTCATTCATTTTCTTTTTATACGGACATACAATAAATAAACGAAGACAATGAATTACTTAACGAAACGCTAATTAAAGAGATCGTTTGCATAGGTGGGAGCAATACAAATGCTTTTTCGATTATCTAATTCGAACAATACCTATTGCAAATCGAGCGTTAACGAATTTGCTCGCTACGCGTATCACAAATGACATTTTTTTTCAATTGTGTAGGATATGTCGAAGAGAGAGTCTCAATGACATAAATGAATATGACTAAAAACTTCCTAGCGTTCTCTTGAAGAGGGACAAGACCTTCCAAATGAAAAGTTAGTCTGCTCTTTTGAAAAGTGTACGACGATCTCGTCGCGGTTGCTTGTGTTTCTCAAATATGACCTCTCATTTGTAAATTTCAATCCCTTCAGTCATGTGATATAATTTGTTTCGATTAGGTTTCGCGATCAAAAGGAAATGTCACATATGAAACAAATTTGCTATTCGATTATTGAAGGTGTGGTATGCATGTGTAATTTTAACTTTCTTTGATCAGGAAAATCCTTTACCAGTTTATGGAATGGTTGGATTCAGATTTCAATTAATAAAGCATGAAAATCTGTGCATTTTGGTAAAAACATATACGAAATATCGATCCTATTTGATCGTCGATCGGCAACAGAAAAATATTTTAGATTCAAATATGTCACCATCACTTACAAAAAACAATAGTTTATCGCTATCTACCTATTAATCTTCGGAGCTTTTATTAATGAGATAAGAACCCAATCGCTATTGGATACGACACATAGCGCACGATATTAATCCGTACAAAAACCAAAATCTGTGTCAATTAGCGAGTGTTTCGTCATAGTTTAAGTCAAACAATCTAGTAGATTTCGATGTACATCAAAAAGATACTCGTTCGCAACGATTCAGTTCCTTTAGTAAAAATTGGTTTTTCAAATAATCGTGACAATTTTATGTTCACACATCACTAAACATGTCATTGAAATCATCTGCGTAGAAACCTGGCAGGTAAATCATTTGTAGATAGATTATTTATTTGTATTGTGTCACCTTCGGGAAAAATATTCATTACGTCCAAAGTTCAATAGAACCGATCTGCTTGTCGATGTTTTGATTTTCGTATTTTCAACATGAAGTTTAAATAAAAGAAGAAAAACATAAAGTTTTCTTAAATACAACACAAAAAAATCGATTAGATTTATTTTTGAAGATTTGTTACGCTTGTTTACTGTTAGAATCCCTGATTCCCACTAGAGAAAGAACGAATACGAGGGCGGTTATCAATTGTCAGTCTATCCAACTAACTGGAAATAGAAGGATGACCAACAAACCACTAAGTTTTGTTCAATTTTTTCAATTGTTCGAAAACAATGAAGAAAACGATGTTCCAAGGCCCTAATCGAAGCCATGAAGGAAAGAAACCTTTATATAAGGCGAAAAAGCCTTCATTTTTGATCGTCTAAAAAAGAATAAAACAGAATTTCATGTCGATAACCGAATTCGATTGATTACTTTGACAAAACAATCGACAATTCCTCCATAAGGTGTTGCTGTTACATTCGAACGGCGAGTTGCATTTTCCTGGTTCATCAATCGCGTCTAGAAATCGAAAATCATCATTCGTTCATTCAAAAGATCACATTCCGACTTACTCGTACGACATCGATTGGTGTACTTGCAAGTGCGCCCGCAAAACCAGCTGTAAATGACGAGAGAAAATGCGTTCCGATCGTATCTGTACTATTGTATCGACATATTAACTGTTTCTTCACCCAATCATACACAGCCAACTCGACGCCGCAGACAATCGCTGCTCGTTGAGCTGTGGGTAATACACCCTTTGAAAAACAAACAAAAAGAATGGATACAGAAATGAAATTGAGATTAGTTACACTCCAAAGACCGGTAAATCCTTCCTTTTTTGCAATGGAAATCATCGCCGGAAAGAGTCGTTTACCGTGAACACTTGGGTGATGAGCTTGCATTCGAATCTGAAGAAAAGTCAGAGATTGAAATAAAGCAAGTTTGATTCTGGTACTTTCAATAAATCAGTTGGATTCGCGATGGCGTTCGATACTGAACCAGATAACATACCGTTTAAAACATTGATATAAAGTTTTTCCTCTAAAAACAATGATTTCATAGAGAGATTAGATTCAAGTCGGGTTAAGAATACAAACGTTGAATATCTTCAGCAAAAATTCGTTTGATTTTTTGATAGATGCCAATTTTGATTGTTCCGTAGGTCGCTTGACGTAGCAAAGCAGCTGAAACACTAAATAAAAACTTCGACCGTGAGACGATAAAGTCATTTCAAACAAGAAACTAACCCGGAATAAAGCATTCGAAACCCTTCTTCTTGACTGATTCTGAAAAATCCAATAGAAACAAAGATCGAAACTTTTCCGAGGCAAAATTCTTTACCGAAAAACTGCTTGGAACATATTTGTGTACTTCTTCTGTGCATATTTCACTTGTTGACTAGAATTATCGAAAATTTGCCCTTGAATTTGCAGGCGGGTCTTTGTCAGGTCAAGCGGATAAGTTACTAAAGAGAAATTCAAACTATTCTCCGACAATGTCAACAACTATTCTATTCAGTTAGTTGATTTTCTAAGCATTCCGAAGAAACTATCGAACTAAGCAAAGTGCACAGTCAATATTTACCCAACTCAGCAACACTCGAGGCGAGACCACCGAACACGAATGGCCGCCAGTCAAACATAACATACTATCTAAAAGAACTGATGAAATATCGCTATCGAGATCACTGCACCACACTCCAAAAGAGTTTGATTGTGCAACGAGTGTTTCTACGGTAAATGTTTTATCTTTAGATTTCGTGTTAAAAGTTCACCGAATGAGTAGAAAAAAAAGGAAAATAAAGAAACGCGTTTAGCATGCAAGTAAACATCGTCAAAAGAAAAGAAAATCAGGAAGACGTTCTCGTTGTTGATTTCGTTGAGATTCAGGCATGATTTGATTCATGCATTCGATCAGAATTGGCAGCAATGGCTTCCAAATCGCCTTCAGCAAATTGAAATAAAGTCGTGAAATGTTCAACATTATTCAGTTTGGCACGACCATTGAAACCGATTAATTCGATGATAACCAGTGTTTCGACAACTTCACAACCAAGATTAGCACAGAGTTTTTGTGCGGCACCCAACGTTCCTTTAATGCAGACAACCGATCGATCAACAGAACTTTACGAAAACGGAATATACGAACCACCGGTAGCGAGTAGATCATCGACAAGAAGAACTCGTTGATTTGGTTGGAGAGTATTCAGTTGGATTTCCATTGTATCGGTACCTAAAACAGTCTGAGATGTAATCTTGCCTTATGCAAAAGATTTTCTGATACCATATTCAAGTTCATAGTCGATTTGGGCAACTTTTCCTGGTAGTTTACCACGTTTACGAACGGGAACAAATGGAACTTGTAGCGACAAAGCTATTTGGGGCCCGAAAACGAATCCACGTGCTTCGAGACCGACGACGACATCGATGGTTTTGTTTCGATTTGACAAACGATTCAAGATTATATCAATCAATGCACGATGCGCTTTCGCATTAGCAAAAATGCCGAAGATATCGCTAAAACACTCGAATAATTCATCTTAAAAATCAATTCAAAATGAATCTTACATAAATGTAATTCCTTTCTTTGGAAAGTTTGGACAAAGCTTCAAAGCTGAGCGCACAATCTCCAAATTCTCGTTCTCGGCGCCTGTCATCATCAAACAATCGATCTACAAAAACAAAAAAACCCGAAGAAAGAGAGTGTTCTTATCGATGCACACACTTCTTATAGTATCGATAAGAAAACAAATTGTTAGGTTTTCTCGATCTGCTCATTGTGTAAATATCTCCACGTCTCTTCCGCGCGAGAAACCTTTTTCTCGTCGAAAATGACGACATAGTTATAAGCCTATATCTGACGATGATTAAAGTGTAAGAAAAGAGAAAAACATCTGCGTTTTCGCATGCAGAACAATCGCTCGTCATATCAGTTCCTAAATGACACGAAGAAAAGCAATCTGAAGGTCAAAGTCACAATCAAAAAATACTTCCGAAATGACTCTGTCAGAATGCTCAGAAACATGCTTCTCTTTGCAAAAATGTTTGTCTCTGTCATCTCGACTACAAATCAAATCTAACTGTTTGTCTCTCGTTAATATTTGATTAGCACATTGGTTTGTATTTCTACTTTAATTAGATTTATCACAGCGAACAAAAGACACGAACGTGCGCAGCTCGTCTAAGATGAATCCTATAGCAGAAAATAACTTGATTATACCTTAAGTCGTAAAAATAATGAGAAAATATTTTTATGAGTTTATATGGTTCACGATTCGTGGATGAAATCAAATAAATATATTGACGAACACCTGACTCGAATTCTTATTAAACCTAAAAATAGTCGACAGACGAGCTTGTTTACTTTGTACAGACTCAAAAATATAAATAAAAGATACGATGTCGAACGAAATATCGTTTGACTAACTAACTATTTGTATTCACAGCATATTGGTTAGAATATCTCAGCAGAAGAAAAATCTACACAACAGAGGGCGTTCTCGAACGTTAGAGTTTCTGAAAACAAACCATCGACATGTTTTCTAGCATTGCTAATTACTTCTATGAAATAGGAAACAATCTTCGAGTCTTTCCGTCGATACTCACATGTCAACATGTCGAACAAAGATTTTCAAACATACTATAATTATTCTCATCTGCACTGTTTTACTGTGATTTGACCTAAAACTATACTTTCAAATTCTAATATTTATCAATAAACACATTCCATGAATATGCAAGTATGACTTTCCGGGAGAATATGATATAAATATAGATAATGTGTACGACTTACTGTCACAATAATCATTAAATTAGAAAAATCAATTTCAACAAAAAATAGTTACATATGTTACAAAACAAACAATCTTGTCGTTCGATTGGTTAACAAGAAATACATAAGAAAAGAATAATAGATTACATCGAAGATAATATCTACTGTTGTTCTTGTTTGAATGTTCATCACTTTGAATTCCCATTACACTATACCAACGGAGCACCGTTTCCATCAGGAAAACTATTAAACAAAATTCGAATCCAATCGACGAACCACCAGATAAACGCGATTAGGGTCAACGTAACACTTAGGCAACTAGCAGCTGTGGTAGCCGTTCGACTTTTACTTCTGGCAGCTAATGGATTCCAAATACAGCAGCCAGCAGATAGAAGAAGTTTCAGGATTCCACATAAGATATATAGACTATCTCGACGAGACAAGATGAACCAATCCAAACCGATACTTCCCGTAATAAATGATATAACAAAAGCCATTATCTTTGAACTTTGTTTATATGAGCAATGACGATAATTCCTCCATGTTATCCAGCCTTTATCGCAAAAACAATCGCCATCGTTACAATACGAATGTGGAGCACAATCTTTATCTGTCATACATCTCGGTAATTGTGCATCCAGAACTGATTCATTGGCATCAGTAACGTTCGACTGAAATGTTCTCGAAGGAATGTACGCTGCATGGATGTACATATCACTCATAATTAACAATCGCACGAGAACAAGAAATTGAATAATTTGTATTTGCATTCTAAACATTAAGAGAATTAGTTACATCAGAATAAATTTGAAAAAGTCACATCGGATAATGCAACAGGTGCTGCGCGAGCGATTTTGTTTTCTTCTAAGTCCTGAGGAATCTGTCATGCTAGAAAATGCTGCTGTGTAAATGTTCGTTGCTCCTCTCGCTTCTTCTTCTTCGTCTTTCTTTACTTCTTCACACAACAACAACAAGAGAGAAAATACACATCAGCTATCTCTATGAAAACTAAGCGAGCGTCTGTTGTAATTATACTACCGCATAGTATCATGCAAAACAAGTCGGCAAGAAAGCAGAACAGAGAGAAAGAAAGAACAAAACACAACTCATCATGGAAAAAAAATGGCAGCTGATGGCAATGAAAAAGAGAAACTAAAGAATACTCAACGATGTGATGAATCTCAACATGACTCGCGCTTAGTGTGTCATTCTCACAATCAAAATAAAGAGGTTAATCAAATATTTGAAACACATCTAGTCATCCGACGAAGAGGAAATGTTTTTCAAGTTTATTCAGATAGTTAATAACACCACAAGATCGAGGAGAATAGGATTTATTAACAAATGGGAAAAATGAGAGAATGCGAAGTTTTTCATATACTTTGTTTTTTGTGCAAAGTATTACGATGAAAACAAAGTAATTTGATATTTATGAGTTATTGTCAATGGACACCTATTTTACGGTATTAGTGAAGCAGAATAATTCACAAATGACAATCTTATTATTTTATTCCACACCATGCATTTTTAAAAGTGTCTTGTTTATGTAACTTTTCAACGTTGATTACTTCGTTGATGCTTGAATAAGCTTGAAAGTTGAAAACGCTTTAGTTACAATTTTTTTTTTAAATAAAAATTTTGCAAGGACGACGGCGCAGACATTTAAAACCGATTCTGTTTGAAAACAAATCTTTTGCTGTATCTTAATTCAGTCTTGTTTAATTTTTATTACAACTAAAAGCGAATTGATCTCATTCGCGTTTGTTTTCACTCAACGAATAAAATCGTTTGAATTCTTTTTGTCTCACTAGATAAAAAATATCTTCGAGACCAACTGAAAATGATGTTACAAAGAGAAATCAGTAAAGAATTTTGAATATGCGTTACTAGAACAAGTACTTTTCATTGTAAGAACTTCCGATACTTCATTTTGATCTATTCTATTCACGTTCGTCAATTTTCCTCTCGAAAGTACACGTCCTCCATATCGAGCGCCCGTCGAATTCAACAAAAAGAAAACAGCGAACTATAATCTCTCTCATTGACATTCATAGAAATTCCTATCTAATAATCAACTTTATCTTTACAAACCTCCGAAATTGTATTAACAAGCTTTGACTTACATGATTTACTTGGTAAAGTAAGTTAACGACAAGTACGTGCGTGATAAAAAAAGAAAAGAAAATTTGAATAGCGTGCTGCGTGATATAAGGTACAATAAGACTTTTGTTTCTTGTTTTTATGCCATTTTCAAAGCATATATATGATAAGAGAATGAAAATATGTCGAATTGTTTGAGCAAAAGTGAAAAGCGTCTTTTACTCTTAGATAAACGTCAAGGGAATGAGTTATGTCTGCAGAAAGAAATGAAAACACATTTAATCAGTGGAAATAAAACGATTTCTAGGGATCAAGTATAATCATTCGCTTGTCTTCTAGCTATGGATCTATTCGCTTTAATGAAAAATTACAGGGAAGATCTAAATCAGTTCTTTTGATATATATGGATATATACTTTGTAATAATGATGAAAGTTTATCGAATAATCGTATGTTGTGCACAGACTATTACAATTATGATCGGATTACTTCATTTCTTACACGCTCAAATTGCTTTTTATATCTTTGAAAATGAATATAAATACTCGCAAATCCTCCAGTTTCTATTTGTTTTTACAACAATGAAAAACAACACACATGGCAGAATGTTTATTATAAAACTCGGTCTTTTGTATGCAAACGAACGTTTTTCTTTCGTACGAATAGAATATCTAACGTGTTAGCTCAAATTTCACGAAAAAAAAATAACAATGAAATGTCTCATGGACAAGAAAAAAAAAGAAGATAGTTGTCGATTCTCAAATGAAACATTTCATCGCAAATAGTGTGTCACGCGCTTAAGACAAATTCAACGTCGAGAGAGTTGAATTTATTCGAAAAATGTTATACGGACTTGTCTTGGATAGTGCTCGTGATGGAATTATTTTTCAATACGGATCAAATGTTTGGAAACGTGTGATACATGAATTGAAGTTACCATCGGATACGTTCGATTTATTTACGCATTACAACGACCAGCTACTATTAAACATTAGTGAATGTTAGAATTTCGAAATGAAAGTTATTTTAACCTAAACTGTTGTTGTTTTTTCTTCTTGCAGGTTTAGTCGACATTTTGCGTGAAGGAACGCGTGACACATATTTACATTTTTTCGGTCAAGATTTTTTTCGTTACTTCGCTAAATTGGACTATGATAAAGTTTTTCGAGTCGCTGGACGAACATTACGCGATTTTTTGTTTGTTATTGATCAATTACATGATTCCAATCGATTCACGTTTCCACATATGCGACATCCTTTATTTCACGTCACAGAAGAGGATCATACTGGTGTCACGTTAGAATACAAGTAAATGCGAACAATTTGTACAATTCTTTAACATTTCCTATTTTTAGAAGTATTCGACGTGGATTTACCCATTATGCGATGGGAAGTTTAACGGGCATAGCAAAGAGATTTTTTCACGAAGATGGTATGCGATTGTATATACGTGATGATTTGTCCACTAATGAATGTAAGTAGTTGGAATGAACATTGAGTAGAACACTGTTTTGCTTGTTCGTGACGTAGACACTCATGTTGTTTTGTGGCTTCAGTTTGATAACAGGTCACATCAACCAGAAAATTTGATTAGTTCGCGAAGTTTGCCAGATGTGACGTGCGCAACGTTTTTCAAAGTGAGAAAGAATAAACGGAGTGAATATTGAGTTTTGCTTTCTGCGAATTTAGATATCTCCGTTTTCAATTCTTATGGATTCTTGTTTTATTATTCGGTATTTGGGTGATAATATCAAAAAAGTCTTTCCAACGGATACAATTCTCATGGGAAGGCCGTTGAATGAAGTTTTTCGACTTATTCGACCTAATATTCACGTCGAATGGGACAAAGTATCTTCTACATTCTCGCCCTCCTATCAACTAAATCGAGTTTGTTTCTCTCTCTCTCTTTCTCTCTTTCACAGATCCTTTCCTATGGTCGACACATTGTCTTTCTCATGGACAATCGCCTGCCACTACGTGTGGGATCGACAGGAAAGATTCGACTTAAAGGTCAAATGAAATACATACAGAACAAGAACATGTTGTGGTTTCTGTGTCATCCAGTGTGAGTCTTAGTATGATTTGATGAGAAATATGAAGTGAAAAGAATGATTGTTCTAGATTAGGAAGTGCTGATGATATGATATCAGCTGGTTTGCATCTAACTGACCTAAGTTTGTTCGACAACACCAGTGAGCTATTAGTAACAAATATGCGTCGATCGAAAGAAGTCGAGGAAGCTTTCGAAAGAGTAGGTATCGTTTCAACTATTACGAATACTAGGTTATGTTCATAGCAAAAAGTATGTCTATCTCAACTCGAACAAGCGAAAAGTGAATTATCAAAATATCATAGACAAAATCAAAATATCCTATCCACAATCATGCCAAAGCATATCTCTTTAATGATCCAATCTGGTATTCCAGTGTGTAGTCTTTGCGAAGTATGTCATTTGTGCTTAAATTTGTTTTTTTTTGTTCTTTTGTAATTATTCTTTTATTAGTCGTATCCACTTGTGACCATCATGTTCACTTATATAATGGATCTCAAAATGTCGACTGCTTATCTCAAACCGATCGAAATTCTCGAAGTATTGAATACAATCATCAACATTGTCGATAGTATCACTGATAGATTTGATGTTTTAAAAGTCAAAACCAAAATGGATGCGAGTTATATGTTCGTTGCTGGTCTACATGATCGATCGAATGTTATCCTAGATAGTTTAGAAATGTCCAGGGTAGACAATATGTTGAATAGACATTCTCAACAAATTGTTTGAAATAATTTCTTAGAATTTGTTTCTGCTGACAAGTGACGACGATGCAAATGAGAAAAATCCATCTGGATTCAATCCAACAGAGATTATCGCTTATCTCTCATTAGAAATTTTACATGCGAGTAAACATCTTATCAATCCGATGACACGAAAACCGTTCGGAATTAAAATAGGTGAGCACAGCAGATGAAATTACATGCTTTTCTCCAGGGAATTCAAGCCATTCTCTTCTCATTCAAGGATTTCATGTGGGTCCAGCGATTGGTGGAGTTGTTGGTGATCCAAAACAACAATATTGTCTATTCGGCGATGCAGTTACAATCGTATGTCAACCTTAATTGGTTGATCTTTGATAAGTTTATTTCATTTTATCGTAGGCAAGAGAAATGATGAACACGGGAGAAGTATGTTCAATGAATACGATATTTCATTTATCGTGTGAAACAATTTTAGATCGATCGAATACATATGAGTCATGCGGCGTATCAGCAGTTGGTAGCAAATCGACGTTTTGTTATTGATCACCGCGGAGAGACACATTTCAAAGTAAGCTTTTTCTTACAAAGATTATTTGTGTTCGACTTCTGTCAAATTTAGGGTAGAAATGGAAGTGAAACGTATTGGCTGACAAGTGTAAATCATTCATTTTTCACGACTTCAATCAATAGGACAAAAAATCTATCAAGATGTCCGTTCAGTGGTCAGCTATTGTAATTTCTAACATCATTGGCTTTGTTTGATTAATAAAACTTAAATTTTGTACTTTTTTAGTCATTCATTTGTTGCAAATATCTATCAGTATGTCAGAATTTCTGAAAATATTCCATGAGAGATAATTTTGGATTTTATTTGAATTTCCTGCGTGTGTCCCACCTACCATATTTTCAATTATATCATAATCCGTATTTTTCTTCTGGAGTACCTACTGCGACATACTACTTTCCATAAAAGTATCTTATCTGATGCGAGATAAAATGTTCCTGCGTAACTTTCATACATTTTGAAAGGTGAAACCTACATAAAATTGTTTTCGTTTCGAATTATCCTTAATGCATCATATTCTCTTCGTACAAAACGGATTGTATAGAAAATACACTGACTGAAAAGAGTTTTCTATGATGATTTTTAAAATTTTTCTGTGCGATGGGTCTGGCATTGGTAAATAGTGATGTTCCTTGTCTCTTTTTTACTCAAATCATCTATTATCCATTGTGAAGATTAAGATGACAAATGGCTTTGATATGTCTGGCGGATAATGAGTTCTGTCTTTTTCATTATATTTCTTAATACCTTGCATGTTGAAAGTCCATCATGGCTTATTTATAGCTCTCCTTCTGATACTTTTAAAATGAAAGAAAACGAGGATCTGCAAGGCATTCCTCAAATAAAGTAGACACTCACATGTCTCTGTATTCTTCTTCCAATATTTGAGATTACCAATCATTTGATCTAACTGAGCATGTTCTATGGTATCATTATGGATACCGTTCGGGATGGGATACTTCGTTCCTATGGGCCAATGTTGTGGAAACGTATTGTCAGCGAAGTACATATTCCGTCGGAAACGTTTGAATTCTATGAGCGATATGATGATCATATACTTATAAATATTTGTGATTGTAAGTTTATTTCGATTTGCATTAAATGATGAATGAACATAGCATTGATTTTGTGCAAGGTATGGTAGAGATTTTGAATGATGGGACACGTGAGAGTTTTCTGCAGTTTTTTGGTGCGAACTTTATTCATTATTTTTATCGGTATGGATTTGATAAGATTCTTCGAGTAGCTGGTCGAACACTACGCGATTTTCTGTTTGTTATTGATCAATTACATGATTCCAATCGGTTTACGTTTCCACAAATGCAACATCCGCTGTTCCATGTTACAGAAGAAGATAATCATGGCGTTATTCTTCATTACAAGTAGACTTTCACAAAGTTCTTCGTTTTCGAATACATTCATTTAGAAGTGTACGCTTTGGATTGGCACACTTTGCGATTGGTGGCTTGTCAGCGGTCGCTTCATTATTATTTAATCTGAAAGATCTTAATGTTGTTATTCAGAAGGATTTATCGAATGATAGATGTAAAGCTTTCTACGGTTCTTTGAAAAAGTTTTAGGATTTGTTATGTTCCACTTAGATTCGCACATCGTCTTTCACGTGCAATTTCCCAACTATAAATATGAGGTAAAGCGATTGTTCGACCTTCCGGTTTTACCCAATCTAAGTGGTACAACATTTTTCCGAGTAAGTTTCATTATAGCATTTTGGTTTCTCTTGTAATGGTTCTCCTGATCATTTTCTAGGTGTTTCCATTCTCGATTCTTATGGATTCATCGTTAAAAATTCATCGCATGGGGAACCATATCATGAAAGCATTTCCTGATGATACTCCTCTAATCGGTCGACCACTCGATCAAGTTTTCCGACTTATTCGACCTGATATTCACGTCGAATGGGACAAAGTATTTTCTACATTATCATCCTCCTATCACCTAAATCGAGTTTGTTTCTCTCTCTTTCTCTCTTTCACAGATTCTTTCCTATGGTCGACACATTGTCTTTCTCATGGACAATCGCCTGCCACTACGTGTAGGATCGACAGGAAAGATTCGACTTAAAGGTCAAATGAAATACATACAGAACAAGAACATGTTGTGGTTTCTGTGTCATCCAGTGTGAGTTTTAGTATGATTTGGTGAGAAATATGAAGTGAAAAGGATGATTGTTCTAGATTAGGAAGTGCTGATGATATGATATCAGCTGGTTTGCATCTAACTGATCTGAACTTGTTTGATAGTACCAGTGATCTTCTCATTACTGGTATTCATCAAGAACATCAATTGGAAGCAACAATATTCAAAGTATATTTGATGTTTTCCCCTATGATCTTTGTTTTTAATGCTGATGGTGCTCTTTAGCAACATCTATGGACGAAAAAGTTACCGGCTGTACAAAAGAAGTTGAATGTTTGTCATAAAAAGAATCAAAGATTACTATACTCAACAATGCCGAAACATATCGCTCACTTACTGCAATGGGGTGTTCGTGCAAATAGTATTTGCGAAGTATATCACATCGGATTCATTATCTTTTTATCGAAATTCCTTTTCTAGTGTCAACCACTCGTGACAATTCTTTTCGTTTATTGTTTGGATATAAAAACAATCAGTGATCATCTGAATGCTGCAGATGCAATCACATGTTTAAACAAAACTATTGTTTTATTCGATACTATAGCTGATAAATACGATGTGTTCAAAGTTGAAATCAAAGCCGATGCAAGTTACATGTTAGTCGCAGGTATACATGATCAATTGCATATGATTGTAGACGAGCATCAAAGAAATGTGGTAAGAGAAGACTGACTTGTCAAAACTGTTCATGGTGATATTGAATGATTTTATAGTTATCGACGAAGCTAACGGACGAAACATCGGAAGTAGACGATGAAGAGGAAGATGAGACACAAGATGAGCACAATAAAAATCCTGATGGGCTGAATTCAAGCGAAATTATAGCGGCCTTATCTTTAGAATTCGTACGTACTAGTGAACATTTCTACAATCCGATATCCAAAAAACCATTTCATTTGAAGTTTGGTAAAACAAATCGAGTACACTAAACTATACAATACATAATTCTAATATTTCACCTAGGTTTTCATTCGGGTATGGCTATCGGTGGTATTGTTGGCTCACGAAATTATCAATATTGTCTATTTGGTGATACTGTTGGAATAGTAAGTGTACGTTTGCGAACTATCAATTAACTCCTACTGAAATCTCTTAGGCAAGTCAAATCACAACGACTGGCGAGGTAATTCTATGATGACAGTAATATCGAGTGGATATTTACGATTTTTATTATAGGTCGGACGAATACATATGACCCACACAGCGTATAGTCATTTGATTGAAGAAAATCGTTATACGGTTGAACATCGTGGTCAAACTAATATTAAAGTAAATCGATCAAAGTCATTTTATCATCAACTATCTATTACCTATTTTCAGGGAAAAGGTCTAACAGATACCTATTGGTTAACCGGTTTAAATGAAAAATCTTCAAAAGTATCGATCAATTCAGATTCAACAACAGTGAAATGTCCATTCAGTAATCCAGACTTAACATTTTGATAAAAACTATTCTAGTATGAACGCATACATATGTATTTGAATGTTAGAAAGACTATGACGCATATTGTAATGAAAACCTTTTGTAAATATTTTGCATTCATTTTGATAATTACATGTGTATTTCAGATGTTTGTTTCTCATCAACTAATTATAGTTTTGTAGCACTTGTCATCTATGCTATTCTATAATAATAACACGTTTGCTGCTAATTAATCCCAGATGAGGATGGAAAACTGAGCTAAATACTTAAGATTATAATTAAACAACATAAGAAAAATATAATCATAGCTTTGTCAAAAACCTGGTCGATGTTGTTGTCACATAAGTATAAAACTGAACGTTTTTAGTTGCCTGTTTTATATCTAACTTACGGATTATCTGGCACAGTATTCTAACGCTTTGCTTTCGTCCTTGAAAAGAATCTGAATAAGTAAGTTCGTACTTTTCTAAATCTACACAAACATTCGAATTACTACTGGGTCTTCTCGAATGATTTTCGGTTTACTTTCATTAGCTGTTTAATCTTCCATTGGCAAATGAATTTGTATGAACGATAAGTTCTTCTTTTTTCAACGATTCTCTTTATCGATATGAAAACATTTTCTACTGAGAGTTTCATGTGATTTCTACTCCGTCAGTAAGGTAATAATATGCGTTTTATAATGAATGCCCTTTTGGCACATCCGTTAATAATCGCGAACCATTTTTGCGCAACAGTTAGCTACGTCTCAGATACACTCGCAGTATATTAAGTTAACCACGGTGTGGACATCTGTTTGAGTGAGTTATTTAAATTCACTTGGAACGAATGGTAACATCCGTCATTCGAAGTCTCTTTCCCTTTTCCAACATATCCACATACGATACTATTTACTACGTCGATTGTTGGTGTCACATTCAGTTTTCTAGGCATTCGTTAGATTGTTTACATAATCAAGTGATTTCGACGGAATATTTCATCGATAGAGATTCCATTTGTAGAATTCAATAGTAAGTTACATATGAAAGTCAAAAATATCTACGGTCAGCTGCATTCCCATCGAGATCAATCCTATATTCGTTCTTTCTCGATACGTTTTCCCATTAGAAAGAGCTGCGATACACCACATTTAATGGATTACTCAAAATGCTTCAACTGAGACCATTGCATGATAGTTAATACAGCAACAATAAGACTAGAAGATGGCGTGCTTTATCCAGTGAATATCCACTTGTGACAGCAGTCTTTCATGAAGCGGAAATAACGCTGTATGTCATCAGAATTCTCTTTTATCTCGGTTAAAGTATAAAATTATTAGTTGTGAAAAGGTTTCCTCTTCAGTTTAGTAAACAAGCATGCCTAAAATGTTCTATGGTATTATTTTGGAAAGTGCACGTGATGGTGTAATACTTTTTCACGGCGAAAATGTTTGGAAACGGGTTGTTCATGAACTTAGATTACCATCAGACACCTTTCAATTATTCGCTCGGTATGATGCAAAACTTTTGTTCGATATTTGTGAATGTAAGCGGTAGATTGAAGTATTTTTGCTCGGTTTCACTCATCTATCTTTAAAATTAGGTATGGCGCA